TCCTGACTAAAGGTGGGGGAACCAAGGTTTTTGGATATGTTAAGTCTGAGGTGACTTTGAGATACACAAGTAGTAATGTGAGTGCAATTGGTTACGTGAAGTCCTGGTTGGACCAAACGTAGATGAGAAGGTACCTGCAGCCCAGGAGTGAGCATGTTCCTGTGGGTCGGGGTGAGTTCACCCAGGGAGTGTGTGCAAAGGGGAGGAGAGCCCTGGCAGATGGCTTGCTTGGTTGGAGTGTGGTCCTGTGCACCGAGAGGTGGCGGGTTCGATTCCCTGTCATGGCACATGCCTAGGTTGCAGGTTTAATTCCGGTCAGGGTGTGTACCGAAGGCAACCAATCGATGTTTCTCTTTCACATGATGTTTCTCTGTCTCACTTTCTTTCTTAAATCAATAAACATACCCTTCAGGTGAGGATTAAAAAAAAAAAGAGGAGAAATTTGAGGATTAAGCCCTGGGCTCTCCAGCATTTAGAGGTTTGGAGGAGGAGGAGGATTCACCCAAGAAAGTTGGTAGGTGGTGCCAGTACGATGGCATGTTGGGACTGTGGTACCCTGGAAGCGAAGTGAAGGAAGGATGCAGGGAGGGGATGACTCATCTGGACTCCTGCTGGATGCTGTGAGAGAAACTGGTGGTTTGCCATTGGCCGAGGGGAGGCCATCGAGCCTCAGAGCGGTTTTCCTGGCGTGGAGGGAAAAGCCTGATGTTGTGGGCTCATGACGTCAGGAAGACAGCAGTGGGGATGCTGTGAATATGAACGGCTCTTTTTGGGAGTTCACCAAAGGGAGCAGAGCTTTATTGTAGGTAGCAGGGTCTCGAAAAGGTCAAGACATTTTATTCTAAGAGAAGAGTCATTTCAAAAAGTAAAAGAGAAGAGTCATTCAGTACATTTTGTATGATAATGGGAATGCTGTTTATTCGTTTTCTTCTCGTCTTGTCTTGGTGAGACTGTGCTGAAGTTTGTCCATTTTATTGGTCTTCTCGGAGAATTAGCTCGTGGTGTAATGAACAGTTCCACCAAGAGCAGACACACAGTTGCACTGTGTGAGGGGCTCTGTTGGTGAGTGCAGAGGTTCCCTCAGGTTCGGGGAGGTGGGCCCCGGGCATCACAGCTCCTCCCTCACAGGACACCCACACGTGCTGTCAACATAAATATTAAACCGTGTGTGTGACACTGTCCCAGACAAGAGCTCTACCTCCTCCATCACTTAGTTTCTATGTCAGATCTAAGATTTTAGTTAAAGGTTGACTTTTTTTTCACTTATCAAATCCCTTTTCAGTTTGTAGAATCTTTAAAAAGTTGCATTAAGACTCGAACCAAGTTATCAACAATTTAGACTTAACTCAGTTTTACTTTTTTGGGTTTGCTATCTAGTTAAACATCTTTTTTAGTTTGGGTTTTTAGTCAAAGTAATACATGTTGTTTTTTTAAAAATACAGAGATTTCTCCTAAAGCAGCCTCATCTGTTGCACCCATCCCACCTCTAATTCTGCTTCATGGTTAATATTCATGTTTGTTTATTTTTGCTATTTAATTCTTTTGGTGCTTACTTACCTCTGTGTCTCTAAGATGTTTATACTTCATTTATTTATGAACTTAAGACATTATCTGTTGGTTTCCTGTTATCCTGAATGTTGATTTTGTTTGCTCCTACCATCCCTCCCACCTGTATTTATAATTATTTTATTCCTGTTCTTGGTCACCTCTATAAATCAAAATTAATATGTATCTCTTTTACTTTGGTCTCATTAATCTAAGGAAGTACCTTCTTGACTTTGGATATTTTAAGTCGTTACACGTACCTCCTTTCCTTTCAGTTCTTTCTTGATTCCATCTCCCTACCTGTCAGTGTTACTTTATGTTGTCAGGGTTAATAGTACTTACTTTCTGTTCGATAGCTGTCATTCAGGCCTATGTTACTGTCTGTTCTGAAAACCAGTTTGTGTTCATGTTTTGTCTGTGGTGCTGGGCAGGGAAGCTGAGCAGCATGTGTTCCCTTTCCCCACAGCCTCGCTGTCTCCTGTGCCACTCAAAACCAGGTTAATATTTAAAAAGTCAACTTTATGTTTACAGAGTAGAAAACCAGAAAGTGAAGTTAAATCTGCTTATAGTAACTACACAAAAATATAAAGTACTTGGGAGTAAATGTAGCACAAGCTATTCTTTACTAGAGACATTGGAATAATGCTGAGGGAAATAAAGAAGACCTAAGTAAACGGGGAGATACGCATGTTTGTGCATCAGATGCACAAACATTGGTTAGATGTTGGTTTTCCCTAAATGGGTATATGGATTCATTGCAATCCTAATAAAATTCTACTGACTCTTACAACTCAGTAGAAAGAAGAAAAAAGCCCAGGTAAAATAGACAGGAGACTTGAACAGACATTTCACAAAAGAAGATACACAACTGGCCAATAAACACACATAAAGATATGATGTTCAACATCATTAGCCATCAGGACCTGCAAACTGAAACCAGAGGAGAGAGTGCTGTGCGCTTATTAGGGCAGCTAAGGTGAAAAAGCCTGGCAATACCAGGGTTGGTGAAAGCGAGGAGCAGCTGGAACCTTCAGACATTGCTGGCAGCAATGTCAAATGACACCATTGCTTTCGAAAGACGGTTTAGCCATTTCTAAGAAGTTAAACACAGATCTGCTCTAGCACTCAGCTCTCCACTCCTAGATATTTATTTGCCCAAGAGAATGAAGTGTATGTCCATTCAGATGTTCACTGAAGCTTTATCACAAAAATCCCAAATTGGAAACAGTGCAATTGTCTGTGTTTATTACAGTTGTCCATCTATAGTGAATGGGTAAACAAATGGTGGAATATCCATGTAATGGAATATTATTTAGCAATAAAAACAAATAAACCACTGATGTACACAGTATGATTGTCACAAGCTGAGTGAAAGAAACCTGAAACCAGAGAACACAGTGTGTGATTTCATTTATATCAAGATCAGAGAAAATGCATAAAGAAATTGTTGGTACCCAGAGCCAGGGAAACAGGAAGGAGAGATCTCAAGGGGCCTGTGGAATTTTGAGGAGTGATGGGCGTTTCTAGTCTTTTTTTTTTTTAATTTTTAATTTTTTATTTATTTATTTTTTAAAATATATTTTATTGATTCTTCACTGAGAGGAAGGGAGAGGGATAGAGAGTTAGAAACATCGATGAGAGAGAAACATCGATCAGCTGCCTCCTGCACATCCCCCACCGGGGATGTGCCCGCAACCCAGGTACATGCCCTTGACCGGAATCGAACCCGGGACCTCTCAGTCCGCAGGCTGATGCTCTATCCACTGAGCCAAACCGGTTTCGGCAGCGTTTCTAGTCTTGATCGTGGTGGTAGTTTTCTGCACATATACCAGTGTCAAAACTCACTGAACTGTACACTTTGAATAGTGCAGTTTGTTCTACATAATCATAACTCAAAGTTGAGAAATAAAACAGTGACCCTGAAACATCAATCAGAAAGAATATATGTACCCCTATGTTCATAGCAGCGTTATTTACAGTAGCCAAGATCTGGGAAACAGCCCAAGTGCCCATCAGTAGATGAGTGGATAAAAAAACCTGGTGCATTTACACCATGGAATACTATGCAGCTGTAAAAAAGGATCTCTGACCCTTTGAGACAGCGTGGAGGGACCTAGAGAGTATTATGCTGAGTGGAAGAAGTCAGTCAGAGAAAGACAAGTATCACATGATCTCACTTATATGTGGAATCTAATGAACAAAATGAACTGATGAGCAAGATAGATCCAGAGACACTGAAGCATAGAACAGACTGAAGATTCTCAGAGGGAAGGGGTGTATGTGTGTGTGTGTTGGGGGAGGGGGGGAGATTGACCAAAGACCTTGTATGCAGATATGCTGAACCCATGGATACAGATAATAGTGGGGTGAAGGCCTGGGAGGGGATGAGAGTGGGGAGGATGGGGGCCAATGGGAAAAAAAGGAGACATCTGTGATACTTTCAACAATAAAGATAAATTTAAAAAATAAAAATAGTGACCAATAAAAATATATATTCAGTAAGTTGGCTTTATTGGTATGGGCCAAGTGTACTTGCTACGTCACATTTTCTTACCATAGTCATATTCCTTTGAGGTTTAATAATCTCTTTAGGATCAAGTACCTGCTAACTATGTTCACCAATAAAAGACCTCATTATTTATGTTCTCTGTAGTAAGAAAGTATAACAGTGGAATCAGTTATTCTTGTTTTGGTTCTGGAACTTGGCTTTCCTGTGTTCCTTCTCTTCTTTCCTCCCTTCCAAGCTGTTTTAAACTTACTACCCAGAATCCTCAAAGTTGGGTTTGTTGACTTGGGAAGTAAAAAACCTACTTGTTGTTTCATGAGCCTGTAAACAGCTCCCTCAGACTCTAACCATTCAGACTGTTCCCTTCTAAGTGTAACTGTAGCTTTACAGTTTAGATACGGAATTATTCCAAATAAATATAGCACAAGGTCCATGATTACATAATTCCTAATATTAGGAAGAGTAAATGGAAAAAAAAATCTAACTTTCCCTGTATGGAACCTCTCATAAAGTTGTAATAATCATGAGCTGCAAAAACTGCATTATTCTACCCTCCCCTCCCCCCGCTCCTCCATTAAAGAAATGTTATGGCATTCTTAGTGACATGGTTTTAACATGGATTGCCAGCCCACTTTCCCATATGTCACTGTAAAACAGTGATTCTCAACATGTGGGTCTCGACCCCTTTGGGGGTTGAACGACCCTTTCACAGGGGTCACCTAAGACCATCGGAAAACACATATATAATTACATATTGTTTTTGTGATTAATCACTATGCTTTAATTATGTTCAATTTGTAACAATGAAAATACATCCTGCATATCAGATATTTACATGACGATTCATAACAGTAGCAAAATTACAGTTATGAAGTAGCAACGAAAATAATTTTACGGTTGGGGGTCACCACAACATGAAGAACTGTATTAAAGGGTTGTGGCGTTAGGAAGGTTGAGAACCACTGCTGTAAAAGTTCTTCAAACAGCGCCGTTATTGTGCTGCTGTAAGCCTTTCTGCTACTCAGCCTTGTTCAGACTGTTTTACATTTTCTTTCAGCCTTTTTTGATATATTCATCCATGCATCTTAACCAGTCAAACTTAAGATTTTTTCCTAAGAGAGAAACAGATTTAGAAAATAGGATTATCAGATATGATGTTTAAACAAGTGTGATATTTAAGATCCGCCAAAAGTGAAAGAAAATAGCAAATCTTGGTCACAGAGCCCTTCTCCCTGGCTCTTCGGCAGGTGAGTCAGGTCTCAGAGCGTTGGGAAGAATGCCAACTTGAATGATCGTCTCTGACTTAAATTCCATAGATGTTTTGATGTTAAGGCTCTTTCAGAATTGGGAATGGTGACAAGAAAAGCCATGTTTTAAAGAAATTCTTTCCTGTGCACATCTCCATTTAAATTAATTTTCTTATAAAGGCCCCTGAAGGAAAGACAAAGGACTGAGTTGCGGGGCTGACACTGTGGGGCTTTGCCGTCCACTGGACAACAGAGGAGAAGGTTCCCCTAGTGTCCAGAGCTGCTCCCACTCTGGGTACCTGGGTGCATCGTAATGGACCTCGACTGCCCTGGTGTAGGGGATGTTGAAGTGTCGGAGGGAGCCACGAAGGAGGCATGGTGAGGGGACTGAGCCATAGAGACCCTGTCCTGCGGCTGAGCTGAGTGAGGCAGAGTGATGGGCGGGTGCTGGAGGGGGAGTCGGGGGAGTCAGGCAGAGTAGTGAGGACGAAAGAAGGACCTCAGCCAGGCCGCCATGGAGGCACTGCGTCAGTGTACAGGCCAGGAGAGTGGCCTGTTGCATTATTTCTGATATCAAGGGTCACTGGTCACTTATTGGCCCCCCTCCCCCCCAGCCCTTGGTCAATAGGACTGTTTTGGAAATCATTGTTCTCTTTAGTTGGATATTACGGTTAAGTGAGAATTGACCAGGAAGTAGTTTTTGTCTGAAGACTTACTGCAAGTAGATATTTTGGGAAATGTTCCCCTTCCTGTGTCTGTGGAGGTTAATGATCACTGTTGTTTCCTTCACCCGGGCATCCTTTCTGGTCTGAGCATCTCTGGGTTATGTTTTGATGTGGGGACTGTCTCTTGTTGTCATGGCACCCCCTGCTGTGTGGCAGGATAGACACCTGTAGGAAGGACAGTTGTCACCTTTCACTGAAGAGGGAGGGTGTTTGGAAGGTTGTCTTTTCCTATGAAATGAGCCTTGGGTGTTAGATGACTTTCTGTGCCTCCCACCTTGAGAACTTAGGACAGTGCAGCCCCGTGAGACGTGAGGTGGGTGGTGCGCCCGCTCTTTGCTGCCCGTGGATGTGACCCTCACACAGGATCTCTGAGTGTCTGCGTCAGTGCAGGCAGGCCTGGCTCCACGACCCGATAGTTACCTGAGGTGCTTAAAAGTTTTTAAAAGTAAGTTATCCGTCAAGTTACTGGTATTAAAATGTGATAAAACCACAGCACCATTTTTCATTTTCTTCATGATTTTGGAGAAAAACATCAAGTGATCACTGTTTTAAAACTCACATTGTGTGTGTTGAGCAGAGAGCAGAAGTTATTTCCAAATGGAGGTACAGGAAGCGTGAAATGTCTGCTCATCCTTCGTCAGCGTTACCGGGTGAGTCAGCAATTTGCTCAAGTCAGCAAACTTTTACTTTGAACTTTAACCATAGTATATGTAGAAAAAATCATCTGTAACATAGGAATCTAAATTTGGTATTAATACATTAACAGAATTTTAGTTTTGGAAGGTTCCTTGGGGGTATTACATCTTTTTAGGTTTGAGAAATATTAGAAGGTGACTCCGTGATATTCGAGGGATGTGTGCATTCTTACCTGATTGAGTCATTGCTTGGTTACACTGCTGGGTGAGAATGGGGTACTGGCCACTTGGAAGGGTTTTGGAATTAGGGCAATAGATTTTCTGAACTTCCTGTTGTGCCCCATGCCAGTGAGGCCAGGGCTGAGGGGCCTCATTCATACAAGTCAGTGAGGTGGCTGTGCTCAGAGCTGCCAAGCCTTGCTCTTTTTTGGCCATTGTCTTGCAGGTATATCCAGCTCCCAGAGCAATGAGCGAGGGCTCTCTCACTCCTCCTGGCTCTGGACAAGCCATCAGGGGTGTTTCTCTGAGTTCTGTCTCAGGGCGTATGTATGGCAATAGGCTGTGCTGTGTTTGGAAGAAGAAGTTGATGATTGAGGTTTTGGGTTTGTATTAAAAATATCAAGTCATTCATTCAGAAGCAAGTACCTGCTTTGGACCAGGTCCTGTGTTATATGCTTGAGGGCAGAAAACAAGACTGGCAAGGTTTTAGCTGAGACCTAAAAGGTGAGGAGGTGGCCAGGGAGGAGCAGAGGTCCAGGCGCGGCAGGGAGGAGTTTGTGCCTGTGGGCAGGACGAATGGTGAGGCTGGAGAAGAGCAGGAGAGGGAGACAAAGGCTTGAGAAGACGTTGAGTCTCAATAGGTAGGAAATCTGACCACGCAGGTCCGAGGACACACTGAGGCGTTAAAATTGGTCATCAGACACTTGGAAGGCATCACAGGATTTTCAGCAAGGGAGGATGACATTGCTGTGGGAGAATCAACTAGAGCAGTGGTTCTCAACCTTCCTAACGCCGCGACCCTTTCATCCAGTTCCTCATGTTGTGGTGACCCCCAATTTCATTGTTACAAATTGAACATAATGAAAGCATAGTGATGAATCACAAAACAATACGTAATTATATATGTGTTTTCCGATGGTCTTAGGCGACCCCTGTGAAAGGGTCGTTCGACCCCCAAAGGGGTCGCGACCCATAGGTTGAGAACCGCTGAACTAGAGGATCCAGAGGGCTTGAGGGGAATGAAGCTTTTGTTATTGTCTTGAATAGCAGCTAATATTTATTACTTGTTGGCTGTGGGCTAGGCAGTATGCCAAACCCTTTTACTCTCGTCCCAGGGAAACCTTGTGAGAGCCCAGTGGGTGCTGTTATCCCTGACTCACGGGTGAGAAAGCAAGACCCGCGAGGATCAGCAGCTGGCCCAGGCCCTGTGTCAGGCAGCGGCCGAGCTGGGACTTGAGGCCAGACAGTGAGGGGCTCCAGACCCCGTGTTGTGAGCCACTGGCATGCGCTTTCAGGGCAGGAGGTGATGGTCTGCCAGCGGTTCTTGACTGTGAGTGGGTCACGCTGGACATTTTTTTATACAAGAGAAATTAGAGTACTTGGGACTAGTAAAGGTAAAATATTGGTATGTGAAACTTTGGTTCACTTTTTTTTTTTTTGTACAGCTGTGCGTGTGCACGTGTGAGCTTGTAAGCCATTGGAGAAAGCAAGCAGCGTTGGTGTAGCCGAGAGCTGGTGGAGTGGTGGCAGTGCTCATGGAGGGGAGGGGTCTCGGGGTGAGAGGCCGATGTGCAGTCTCCCTGTGAGATGCACACAGGGCCCAGTGTGGGGAGGTGTCAGGACGTGCCCCGCTCTCTGGGGGGAGAAGAGGGGTCCAGGTGTGCGTGTGCGCAGTGCAGGCCTCCTGGGCTGTTTCACTGCCTGGTTCCCTAGCTTCTCTCAGCGGTAGCTGATGGGACAGGGTTGGCATGTCACCCACATCTGCATCTTACAGCAGATCTGTAAGCTGGCTCTGACTTGTGAGGTGAGCTGTCACCCCAAACTGCCTAAGCAGGGGATTGAGCCAAGAATAAATTCTCTGGAGCCACCCAGTGGCAGTGGCCATCGCAAGTCGTGTTGGAGTGAGGGTCTGGGAATGGTTTGGCTGCAGTCAGTGCCCTTGGGATCCAAGGACCTCAGGGTTCCAGGGTTGAAGGCCCAACGTAAAAGTAAGATTAGTACAGTTTTAGGAGTTCGCAAGGCAGGTGCAGCAAAGCACAGGCTGGGACTGGGTGCGGGACGCAGTGGCTGGGAGGTGACCGTCTGGAGAAGGTGGAGCTCTGTCTGTGGAGCCTCATGCAGGTGCGTGATGTCCTTGACCGACGGTGCTGGCCTCTTCCCAACACTGATTCCCTGTTGGTAACTGAAATACTAAGACCAGTTGCCAAAGGGAATTGTCTGTTTCCTACGGGCACCCCCCAAGTCGAGTAGCTCTGTGGGTGATTTTGGAGTTGATGGCGTGTGGTGCCGAGTCAGTCGGGTGGAGCGTGAGCACAGTCTGAGATGTTGTTTTCATCGACTGCTTCTGAGGAACTGCTTCAGCCACACGGAGCACCTGGAAGCAAGCGTAGAAGTAGGATAGTGTTTGAGCTGCATCGTGTCTGAGCCTTGGAGGTGGAATGCCTGGCTTGGTCTGTCTGAGCGTTGCAGTCCTTGTCTCTCCTCACTGTCTGGAGGAGAGTGGATCTGAGGACAGGAACGTTTCCTCAGTTGCTGAACATTTGGGACCTCCCGGCTTTAGGCAGCGAGCCAAGTGCCAGGGGACAAGGGATCACAGGGGTGGTTCCTGAGGAGCTTCTCAGCGCCGTCACGTGATCACACGCCGTGGGAGGTGCACACACCATGGGGGTGCACACACTGGGGGTGCTCACCACGGCGTTGGGGTCTGGAAGGAAACGCGAATCACCGCCTGCTTTCAGCTCTGTGTGCTTGGAAGCGTCATGTGTGAGGACGGTAGCACATGTCTGAGACATACACATAGGCTGGGCTACCTTTCTTTGCAGGTGGTTGTATGTGATAAAATGCATGGAGGCTACTATATGTTAGTTTAGATCTTAAAAAGACACATTGTTGATAACTTGTCCTAATGTTTTGAGAGAACCAGGAGCCTCTGTGCATGTGACCTGTGTTACAGCGAGGAGGGAGCTGTGCTTGCGGCCTGCACTGTGTCATGTGGAGCAAGCCTTGTTCTCAAAGAGGTCATTTTCTCCTCCTGTTGGAGGAACTTGACCTTTTGTGGGACGTGTCCCTTGTTAGGAAGCACCATGCCCTGCTGCCAGCTGTCAGGTTGGGGATAGGGCCTGGAGAGCGTGGTGCACCTGTGCCCTCGCACTGGTCAGTCCTGTCCCAGCTGTACCCCCTGGGGACCCACATGCCTGTTCACGTCATAGAGCAACAGGAATGGGGTGCTCCCCACAAATGTCTTGGCCCTTCTGCTCTGCGTCCTGTTTTCTCAGTATGAAAGGCCTCACGTCAGAGCCCGTGTAACCCTTGGTTCACAGGTTCTTTCTCCCCCACCCTGAGAACCTTTGTCCTAAATTAGTTAGAAAAGTGTTATCCAGCCCTGTTTTAAATGAGGGAAATTGGTTAAGTGCTTCTAGAGTCACTGAGGCCTTCATGTTCATTTTTGTTAAGTGACACCTTGCCTGTGTCTTTCAGGTTGGACACAGTGGGGAGAATGCTTTCACGGCACGTCCCAGCCCCACTCGCAACTCAGGATGTCTCGGGGGGAGAGCGCGGTGTTTGCCTATGAGTCCTCGGTGCACAGCGCCAACGTCCTGCTCAGCCTCGACGACCAGCGCAGGAAGGATGAGCTGTGCGACGTCACCGTCCTCGTGGAGGGGCGGCCGTTCCGCGCCCACCGGGCCGTGCTGGCCGCCTGCAGCACTTACTTCCACGCGAGGGTCCTGGGCCAGGCTGACCCAGAGCTCAGCATTTCTCTCCCAGAAGAGGTGAGCGGGTCCACCCTCGGGAAGCCACCCTGATTTTAACTCATGGAACCTAATTCAGTCTCTATGGTTCACTCGGTTAAAGACAAAACCATCTTGTCTCAAGGCTCAGGCGCATTTCCTAGGTTCTGCAGCAATACATTTAACTTTTTTCACAAAATTATGACATTTTACATGTAAAATTATTAATTTTGGATTTAGTTAATAGTATTTATTGAGCAGATGAATAACATACATTATTTTTAATTTTAACTTTTAAAATATATTTGTATTGCCCTAGCCGGTTTGGCTCGGTAGATGGAGCGTCAGCCTGCGGACCGAAGGGTCCTGGGTTCGATGCCTGGGTTGTGGGCTCGGTCCAACCTGCAGGAGGCAGCCAATCAATGATTCCCTCTAAACATTGATGTTTCTATCTCTCTCTTCCTCTCCCTTCCTCTCTGAAATCAATAAAAATATTTTAAAAATATTTATTTGTATTGATTTCAGAGAGAGGCAGGTTAGGGAGAGAGAGAGAAACATCAGCGATGAGAGAGAATTATTGATTGGCTGCCTCCTGCATGCCCCCTACTGGGGATCGAGCCCACAACCCGGGCATGTGCCCTGACCTCCTTTGCCCAGTTTCCTCCAATGGTAACATTTTGCAGAATTGTAGAATATCACAACCAGGATATTGACATGAATACAACCCATCATCTTATTCAGTTTTTGGTTTTTCTTGCACTAAGTGTGTGTGTGTGTGTGTGTGTGTGTGTGTGTGAAGTTTTGTGCAGTTCCATGTGTCCACCACAGTCAGATACTAAATGGTTCCCACACCCAAGGAACCATTTATAATTGTACCCTCCACCCCTAAACCTTGGCAACCACTAATCTGTCCTCCTTTCTAAAGTTTTGTCACTTCAAAAATGTTACATAATTGGAATAACACAGTATGTGACCTTTTAGAATTGGCTTTTTTCCCACTTAATTCCCTTGAGATTCATCCAGGTTGCATGTATCAATAGTTTTTTTTTTTTGATTGCTGAGTAGTATTCCACACTATGGATGTACCAGTTTTTATTTAACTGTTTGCCTATTAAAGGAAATTAGGCTCGTTCCAGTTTTTGGCTATTACAAATAACGTTGCTGTGGACATTGGGCCGAGCCAGCTCAGCCAAGGGTTCGAAAGCCTGAGTGAGGGCAGCAAAAGGATGAAGAAATGACAAAGAGAATAAGCTGGGTCTAGGTGGGTCTTCCTGTGCCTGGCTGAGGCCACAAGAGATCCAGAGGCAAGCTGAGCCTTTATTTTATAGCCAGAGGTAAACAAGGCAGTGGTCACCATAGTTACAGTGTTCTTGTGAGTTTCACTTGTTTTGGTAGCACTTGCTGCACCTCCCACAGCCCATTAGCTACCCAGGAAGGATCTAGGGAGCGGCATAAGGTCCAGCCTAATTATGCCAACAGGACTGTGCCCTCTGAGCTGGGACTTGTTTGTGGCTTTGCCAACAGGTCAGTCCGAGGCTTAACCCTATAGCCGCACCCTACAGACATTTGTGTCCAGGTCATTTCTTGGGGACAGAGGGCAGGATCCAGTTGCCAGGCCTTACGGGGGTGGCGTTTTAGCTTTACAAGAAGCTTTGCTTTGCTGAGTGGCTGTGCGATACCATTCCTGGCCAGTGTGAGTGCCCTGCTTCTCCGTGTCTCACCAGGGAGAGCTGCTTTTTGTTTCAAACCATTTGAAAGCCAGTGCAGTGCGCACAGCTTAGAATGTTTTTAAGGAGATCACGAAAACAGTGTCTTGGCCACTCTTACAGGAACTCAGTGTTGAAGAATCAGTTCTGTATCGTAACTCAGAACGAGGCTTTCCCTGCACTTCACCCGCTCAGTTCCGTCTGCCCTCACGGTGTAGAGGCAGGTTCAGTGCAGATGTGCACGTTTCTGCTTAAAGCTCGTGTAGCCAGAAGCCCGTGGATCTTTGCATGATTTTTAGAACTTCACTTTGTTCACTTTTAAAATTTGAATCTTTAAAAATTTTATTAGAAGTTTTTGGGATGAGATAAAGGTAACAGTTACCATTTATTGTGCATTTGTCCTGGATCAGAACTCCTCGAAGTCCTTTAGCTATGTTGTTCTCCACCTGTAAACTGCTCCCTCTGTGGCTGACAGCAGCTGGAGTTGTTCGCATATGACTGCCTGGTGGGCTGGCGTGGACACCGGGGGTGCTCCTCCTGCTGTAGTTACTGGTGTTTATTGCAGCCCGTTTGGAGACAGTGTGGTGCTGCTTCTCTTTCTTTTCCCGTGTGAGTACGTTGTAGTCATGTGTCAGTCAGCGTGGACTCTGTGAGTCGGTGTGTGTGATAGCGTGACCCCTCAGCTCTGTACTCCCTGGGAATGGTTGTCTTACCCGTTAAAGAATCTGCTTTATCGTGGTCACAGGTAAGTTACTCATCTCTCGTCCCGTCTGCTCTTGTGTTATCGTCTAGACAGCTGTCGAGTAATGCATTTGTTTTCATTTTGTATGTTAACAGGTGACAGTTAAAGGATTCGAGCCTTTGCTTCAGTTTGCCTACACGGCTAAGCTGTTTCTGAGTCAGGACAACGTGGATGACGTGTGCAGGTGTGTGGAGTTTCTAGGCGTCCACGACATTGAGGAGTCCTGCTTTCAGTTTCTCAGATTTAAGTCCTCGGACTCCACTGCCAACCAGCAGGAATGCCCGAGGAAAGCCTGCTTCCCCGCCCACTGCCAGAAAGCAGGCCTCAAGCTTCCACTTTTGGACCAGAGGGATTTAGAAGTTAATGAGGTGGAGGAATTTTTGGAAAATAAAAATATTCAGACTCCTCAATGTAAACTCCGTGGATGTCAAGGAAATACAAAACCGTCACCTCCCCTACAAGACAGTGCCAGTCAGACATGGGAGTCCATGTGCCTAGACAAGGGGGCTGCTCTGGCTCTGCCATCTCTATGCCCCAAATACAGAAAATTCCAGAAAGCGTTTGGGACGGACAGAGTCCGCGCTGTGGAGTCAGGGTTCAAAGACGGTCACACTTCTGTTCCACCCAGTGAGACGCCTGAAAGTGAGTGTCCGGGAGGAGCCCAGGACTGCGCAGACTTGCAGGTGGTTTTAAAATGTGAAGAAAGTAACACAGCAGCGGAGCCTGAAGACCCCACGGAGGAGCCTGCCTCTCAGTGCCCGTTGGAGCAGACGGGGGCGCCGTTCCTCCACTCTCCCGCGGACCCGCCGGGCCTCTACTCGCTGTCCCTCCTACACACCTACGACCAGTATGGCGACTTGAACTTGGCTGGTATGCAACCCACAGCAGTGTTAACCGAAAAGCCGTTGTCAGGCCCAGCTGTTGGAGAAGAGAAGACCTTTGCTGGAAGTGAGGATTTACTTTTGAAACCGGACTCCAGCCCTCGGGGAGAGGGCGGCCCCGCTCCTGGTGGTCGCAGCAGTGTGGAGCGGGAGGTGGCCGAGCACTTGGCCAAGGGCTTCTGGAGCGACCTCTGCAGCCCAGACGCTCCTGGCCCAGTGCCGCTGTCACCTGCCGGGGCCAACGATGGGGCAGGACAGGGCCAGTCACAGAAGCGGTCCGAGTGCCCCTGGCTGGGGATCAGGATTAGCGAGAGCCCGGAGCCGGGCCAGAGGACTTTCGCAACGTTAAGTTCTGTCAACTGCCCTTTTATAAGCACTCTGAGCACCGAAGGCCATGCGAGCAGCTTGGAGATAGCAGCTGACGGTTATGCCTCGGAGCCCCAGCAGGAACCCTGTCCGTACGCCTGTGTGATCAGCTTGGGGGAAGACTCTGAGACGGACACCGAAGGGGACAGTGAGCCCTGCTCAGCCCGAGAGCAGGAATGTGAGGTGAGGGCTCGCGGGGGTGTTCGGTCAGGCTTTGCCACCACTGACGGGGATTCACTGTCAGCGCCTGGCGCCCCACCAGGGGGGCCCGCGGGCTCGGGGAGGGGACCACACCGTGAGGTGTGAAACTGTGGGGTCTGCACCAAGCAGGTACTTCTGTCAGCCGTGACCTGGAGGCCCACAGGACTGTGTAACTGCTCCCCTCAAACGCCAGGTCCCCGAGGAGGGGAGCAGTGGTGCTGGGTCCCTGCGTGTGACTCCTGAGCGGGTAGCACGGACGGTCTACTCACTGCCTTGGGGCCCTGCACCTGGGCAGCCCCTTGGCAGGACTGCGGCGCCTGTTGTAGGGATGCGGCCTGCAGCGCGACCTGCCTTTACTAGTGTGTTGCTCTCTCATAGCCATTCTTGTTCCCTTAGTCTTTCAGCATTAACTTAATGATGTCTAATAATTAAGTGCTACGTGTAGTTGTGCCCGTTGTAGGGATGCGGCCTGCAGCGCGACCTGCCTTGACTAGTGTGTTACTCTCTCATAGCCATTCTTGTTCCCTTAGTTCCCTTAATGATGTCTAATAATTAAGTGCTACGTGTAGTTGGTGTGCGATAGCTGCTGTTTGTAAAACATGCCTGTAATTCCCAGGGCTTCTTCTTTATCATTTTCTTGGTTCTGTAGTTGTTGGATGACAGGTTTGGGAGAGTGTAAGAGGTGGTTTTTCCTGGGCTTTGGGGGGAGGTGATCAGTGATTTAACTTAAGAAGTAAGATGTATGCATGAGTTGTATCTGTAGATTTTTGTATGCTATTTATAAACTCAGTGTTTGGAACTATGAAAAGAACGTTAAAAATAAAACATTTAAGAAGTTTAAAAATATTTCATATATGTAACAAACTAAATAGGTTGCCAGAAAAACTGACCAATATTTTATTTGCATTTTTGGTCATTAATATAATTAAGCTGTTCTACAATTTTGTTACTAGATTTTCTCCCTCAAATATATGTATCTTGAAAATGAATTTAAAATATTTACAACATTTTCCTAATTATTTTTACACTAGAGGCCTGGTGCACGAAATTCATGCACTAGGGGGGGAGGGTGTCCCTCAGCCCAGCCTGTACCCTCTCCAATCTGAGACCCCTCGAGGGATGTCCCACTGCCCGTTTAGGCCCGATCCCACCGGCAGTTGGACATCCCTCTCACAATCCAGAACTGCTGGCTCCCAACCGCTCACCTGCCTGATTGCCCCTAACCACCTCTGCCTGCCAGCCTGATTACCCCCTAACTACTCCCCTGCCAGCCTGCTCAACGCCTAACTGTTCCCCTGCCAGCCCGGTTGCCCCCAACTGTCCTCCCCTGCTGGCCCGGTCGTCCCCAACTGCCTTCCCCTGCCGGAAAGTGAGATGTGTGCCTTTGTCTCCCAGGGCTGAGTGTGATAGCAAAACACATCACTGGTGACTGATGTTTGTCTCACGTCCTAGGTAAAACTGCCATTTAATGCACAACGGATCATTTCCCTCTCTCGGAATGACTTCCAGTCCTTGCTGAGGATGCACAAGCTGACTCCAGAACAGCTGGACTGTATTCACGACATCCGGAGGAGGAGCAAGAACAGGATCGCCGCCCAGCGCTGCCGCAAGAGGAAACTCGACTGCATACAGAACCTGGAGTCGGAAATCGAGAAGCTGGTAAGGATGCCAGAGAGTTAAATTCCACCACATCCACCCATTCTTTTTTATTGTAGAGCAAACAGCTATTTTAATTCCTAAGTCAGATTATAATGTTCAGTTATACATTAATTTTAAAATTTACCACATACCATTTTAAGAAAATAAATTATATGACATTTAGGAAGTAAAAAAGGATGTTTATAGACTACATATGTACGTATTCTACATATTATAGCATAATATGTTATAAATTGAGAACTATTTCTGGGTGCCTTTTTAATGATTTACAAATTAAGGATAGTTTTTACCATCTACCTAATTCTTAGGTGGAATCAAGATGCAAGACATTGTGAGGCACTTCAGTGTTTTGTGCCATGAATTTGTAACACTTAATGGTTCAGTTGTTAGTTAAAATACACTGTAGACTTGAATAACTTGTTTTGGTTGATACTAAAACAAACCCACTTGGATCTTTTATCTAAGGGAAAAAGTCAGATGCTGATAGGAAAGGAACATTCCGAGATCTAAGGAGACCCTGCATGTGAGGAATGCCTGCTTTGTTGAATCTTATTTTCTGTTCCAGCATCAAAACACAGGTTAACTGAAAAATGATTAACTTGCAGCCAGCCTGGTGTATCTGTCCCCTAGTGGTGGCTGGAAGGAACATTGTGTGAGCAGCGGAAGCTGGGATTGGTACAGACAGCAGGGAACAGGGCCCACATGGAGGGAAGACATTTCTTCTGTGCTCAGTTTTGGGTGTTTGTTAATTACTGGTGAGAGTTTAAAATTGTGATTGTAGCAAATCTTCAAGTATGAACATTCTAGCTATGAATAGCAGTTAAACAATTTAGAAAGAAAACCATGCTTTTATATACCTTCAAAAAAGTGGAAAAATAAAAATTTATATATTTTGTGTATACTTTAATTGTGCAAAAAGAGGAAGACATATAACTATTTAAAAAAACGAGGCACAACTGTAAAAAGGTTAACGAGAAACCAGATGTTTTACAAGTGAAGGCATGAGAGAGATGAAAACCTCTGTGATTTTGCTGACTGATTAAAGTGGTTGGGAACACAGGAGAAAAGTTACAGATTTGGGCCCTGGCCAGTTTGCACAGTGGTTAGAGCACTGGCTTGGGTCTGTGGGTTCGATTCCCAGTCAGGGGCATGTACCTCCGTTGTTTAGTACTTTATTTTTTTCAAAATATTAACTGCTATGAAATACTTAAAAACTAATTACCATAGTTAGATGTACAGTTTTTTTAGAAAAACTTGTATATAAAACCGTAATAGTACTTTTGTATAAAGCAAATTTCCTTTTACCCTTATAGCTATTTTTGTTCCAGAAAAGAATCTATGGTAGAGGATTATCACTGATATCACCCATCTAACTGTTAACCACAGCGTCAGCTCTATAGAACCTGCCCATGAGCAGAAAACCAAGAGCCCTGTCTAATCCCACAGGGGAAGCCTTTGGCCTCCTGCCAGCTTTTACTTCCTCTCCCTCTGGTCACCTGGCTCTTGCTGGGTCAGAGCAGGTGTAGGGGCAGCAGGAGAGGGAGTGGGCGAGGGAGAAGCATGCTGCCAGCAGGTGGTGGTGGGTGGGCTGCAGGAGCCAGCAAACCTGAGAACATTGTGTGAAGACTTGCCTGGAGAGAACAATTCTAAACAATAATAATATGATTGACAAAACAGACCCCCCCATCCCCTCCCCTCACACCTAGTTCTTCACACTTGTAGCTCACACATTAGATTTCTGACGGTGGGCATTTTAGACGCTGAGTCCCACCTATAACGTGGGTTTAACGTTACTTAAATCAGCAGTTGTGGGACTCACACAGCTGAGAGTGTGAATTCGAAGACATTTTGCACAATATTCGGCACAAAGTAAGTGCTCAGCAAATGCTAGTCGCTATTCGAACCTGGCGGTGATTTGAGTCGCAGGAGTTAGGATGAGTGTGCTTCTGCCTCTTTTGACTCTGCTGTCTAAGATGTTAAATCCACACTTGCTGTTCTGCAATCCGCAAGTCCAGAAAGCTCTGAAAACCGTACAGGAGAACAGTACCAGAGTGTCACCACTGCTTTGGCAGAAACTGATGCAAACAACATCAGGCGACGTAGAATCGTTTTTTCTCTACTTTGCGCATTGTTTGATATTTCACTGTGTTTTATTTAGAAGTGTAGAGATGTTTGACAGTGGGTGGCTGCCCCAGACCCCGCCAGAGGGAAGATGTGCGTCCACATTATCTTCCTAAATCTGAAAAATCCTGAATCCCAAGATACGTCAGGCCTAGGAGTTTTGGATGAGGGATTATGGACCTGAGGTATTGAATACATTTTTCAATTGAATTGAAAGGAAAAATTCCATGTGACCGTGTTTAATGAGAAGACACTGCAGACACCAATGTCTGATCACCTTGGCAATGGTTGCTAATGCCCCCGAGTCATTGCGTTCTCTCTGTGCCCACAGCAGAGTGAGAAGGAGAGCTTGCTGAGAGAGCGAGACCACATCCTGTCGACGCTGGGTGAGACCAAGCAGAACCTGACCGGACTTTGCCAGCAAGTCTGTAAAGAGGCGGCTCTGAGCCAGGAACAGATTCAGATACTCGCCAAGTACTCGGCCTCAGACTGCCCACTTTCGTTTTTAATTTCTGAAAAGGACAAAAGTACTTCTGATGGTGCTCTTGTGTTCCCACCAATTCTGAGTTTACCGGAGGGGCCTCCTGCCACGCCACCTGCTGGGGGCCAAAGCCCCTGCTTCCCCTGCGGGAAGGGCAGTGGGTCGGGCTGCGTTCTGGCTCAGGAGTCTGGGCCGAGCTCCAGGGTGGCCCCGGAGTGCGCGGGGCCCTCGGAGCAGAGCCGGCAGAGCGCAGGCATCTCCGACTTCTGCCAGCAGATGACCGACAAATGCACTACTGACGAGTGAGCCTCATTCCTCCTTCCAGCCCCCGAGCCTCCTGCTGAAGCTCTGGAGTGTGTCTTGAGCCTCATCCAGCCATTGGTCTGCTGACAGGGCTGTTTCCCCTCCGTGGCCGAGAGGGCTTCTCTGAGGCTCCTGATGCCTCGACTCCACAGAGATGCAGAGACGGCGGCTTCCTGGAGATGGAGAAGTTCCATCGAACACGTAGTGAGGCTTTTATTCTGTTTCAAAGAATAATAACTGTTAGTAGCAACTCTCCCCCTCATTCAAAATGCCAGAATGTGGACTAGCCTGTCCAGCAGCCGTGTAACTGCAGGCGCCTACAGGGTTCCCCGAGGAAGGGCCCGGGGAGTCAGCAGCCTGCCCTGCCTGCGTGTGCTGAGAGAGCCTGGCCCCAAGAGCTGATGGGCTGCGCACAGTGGGGCAGCTGCTTGGGATGCCAGAAGCCTGGAGCTTGGCTCCTCAGCTCCTGCTAAAACCAGGGGTGGGTGGCCTACCACTGTGACCTTAAGCTCCCATGGGCCTTGGGGAGCCGGGGCAGGCGGGTGGCCCAAGGCAGAGGCTCTGGCCTTGTTGTGTGGCTATCAGGGGCTGTGGTCATGGCAGCGGGTAAAAGCCATGGCTTCTCTCCTCAGTCTACCCAGCTGGTCCTCGAGGTCTCTGCCTCCTGACGTTCTGTCCCTTTGTGGGGGGAAATGGGTGTTGGATTCAGGCAGTGTTGCCTTCAGCTTCTTGGACCCCAAGGGCTTGCCTGCCCCCCACAGCGCAGTGCCCTGCAGAGCCCGACGTCTGGGCAGAGGGCCACCTGCAGGACTAGGAGAGGCAGGCACTTTGATCTGGTTTTGAAATCCTATGGTTTACTTGTAAAAAGTATTATTGTAGATTTAAAAGATGCCTCTAGAACAACCGTATAGGTTTGTGAAACGGGATGAAATTCGATCTTGTTTCATGTGCATTTGAATTTGGAAACTAGAGTGAATGCTGCTCTGTTCCTGAATCTGGTGTCTCAGGGCCCACGGTCCTGGTCCTCTTAGTCGTCCTCTGTGTCTGCCCGTCCTGTTGAATGCAGCTTTCACCTCTGAGTGCTCCCGCAGCACTGCCTGCTGTTACAGACTTGTTTGACAAGGAACGCTAGACTCTTGGCCTCCTACCATTACAAAAGCGTGTTCTCAGGCACAGACATGTGCAGAGCCCGTTGTAAAGGGTACGAAGGGGTGGTTGAGGGTGTTTGGTTTAGACAGTACCTCACCAAGTCAGACACCCGAGGCTCCATACAGGGCGTCCTGAACCACGCGAAGGGCCCGTGGGTGCCGCTCCCGTGGGGACAGCCCTCGTCCAGGACAGTGAGCCTGAAGCAAGGCAGCCTTGGCTGAGAGCACAGGGACCACTGAGGACTTCACACTCCTGGCCAGATGCGACCCTTTCTGATGGGCGGTGGCTGCAGGAGGCGTTCCCAGTCTGTGTCCAGCCGTTCGTACAGTAGCTCTGTTACTGGCTTAGTGATTGTAAGAGAAAACTAGTTGGGCTTGCTTCTAGTCTAGAGCAGTGGTTCTCAACCTTCCTGATGCCTCGACCCTTTAATACAGTTCCTCATGTTGTGGTGACCCCCCAATTTCATTGTTACAAATTGAACATAATGAAAGCATAGTGATGAATCACAAAAACAATATGTAATTATATATGTGTTTTCCGATGGTCTTAGGCTACTCCTGTGAAAGGGTCGTTCGACCCCCAAAGGGGTCGCAACCCACAGGTTGAGAACCGCTGGTCTAGAGGCTTTCATGAATACACTCAAGAATGTGTCAGGGAGAATGAAATTAGTTCTGTGCTAATGCATCCCAGCCCATAAAGTGTGTGGGCACAGACATCCCCATGTAGCTGTCTGATGCTTATAACTTTAACTTCAAAATACGAAATAATATAAAAATGCTTCTGGTTTACAAATGTAAAATCTAATACAAGCCAATGGAATCCTTGATTTCCTACCTCAGCGGACACTCAGCTGTCTGTCATACAAGTGTGTGTGCGTGCGCGCGCGCGTGTGTGTGTGTGTGTGTGTGTGTGTGTAAGTTGTGTCACATGATCTGCTTAATTGCCCCTGTAAATAACTGCTTTGAAAGCGTCCTTTCTCTTTTAATGATAAAACCTAGTTGTCTCCAGAGTATATATATGATTTTTAAGGCACTTGGTTTAAATTGATCTCTACATATAAATAGCTTAGCATTAAGGGTTTATGTTAATGATACTCCGATTATTGGCCAACTGTAAAGCATAGCATTGTTTTACTAGCCAGCATGGAATACAGGAACTACACTACCTCATACCTCCATGATTTTCAAGTTGTAACAGAGGGACAGGAAGATAAAAAAGATTTTATCTTTGTCTTTTGGCTGCAATTTTCTACATATTGCATAGGGTTACACACTTATGCGTATTTTAAAGTTAACTTCTAAAGAGGTTTTTTCCTAAAAGTGTGTTTAAGTTGATTTTCCTGAGGGTGCGGAAGACAGATGGCTGGGTTGTGTGCGCACGTGTGTAGCGTTTTCTTCCCGCAGAAGTCTGGGAAGGTTGTTTTCAGTGTCTGCTGCATAGTCACATGGTCCTGGTCCCCAGGTCTATGAATCGGTTTTCTCAATGCTTGATGGTTTTTAAAAAACTGTTATCTAACTCAGCAAAATAACATTACCTTAAATTTGTTATTTCAGCTCACCTATAGCAAATGATTTGTTAAATTGTTATGCTCAAAGCACATATGGATATAAATCTTGGTCCTCCATTTGTAACTTTTATGACATAATTTACTGCAGCTTAATGTTTTGCCAGTTTTGAATAAGGAAGTACATATATATATATGTACTTCCTTATTCAAATATATTTTTATTAATTTCAGAGAGAGAGGGAGAGATAGAAACATCAATGATGAGAGAATCATTGATCGGCTGCCTCCTGTACACCTCCTACTGGGGATTGAGCCCTCAAACTGGGCATGTGCCCTGAACAGGAATCGAACCATGACCTCCTGGTTCATAGATTGATGTTCAACCACTGAGCCACGCCGGCCGGGCGGGAATTAAATATTTCTGATGTAGTAGATGATACAGGTTGCATGTGGACACTCAGCCCCATTCACAGCTTCGAAAAAAATCAGACAAATGGCAATGTTATAATGAATTCTCAGGTGAACTTGTTTTGTATAAAACATCTGTTTTGAATTTGTAAGTATTTTAAAGGTTTACTAAGGCATGTAATAAACTATTCTTTGAAGCCTGTTGGGTAAATGAAAATTTAAAGCCATAATGGCATACTAATTGTAAATAAACATCTATTGATTTTTTTGTATCTTCCTTAATATAATTTTCTAACAATGCAATAAAACCACTAAATTTATATATTCATAGCCAATTAAGGTCATATTTCATTAAAACAAAACTTTCATAGTATTTAATTTATATTTCCTCCCTAATGTGCTTATCCAAATGTAGCAAAACGATAGATGTTAGTTGTTGGCAATAAATTGACAGTTAAATAAAATTCCCTAAAATTGCTTCTAATTGAATAGAGTTGTATATTCCATTTCCATTTCCCACTTCTGAGGTGACTTTACTAATAATCTCAGTCTTTGGTCAGGCAGTACTTGTCTGAGGGAGGACTTAATATTTGATGATGGTGCTGAAAACTGTGCCCAGACGTGGGGGTTAAGGGAGCACAGCTTCTGCCTTGCTCCTGACGGACTGCAGTTGAGGCTTCGGGTGGAGATGTGGGGCTTTTGGAGGGGACACTGTGTCTCTAGTCCCGGGTTTTACAGACTCACCTGCTCAGGCACCTCTCCCAGGTGACAGCCTACGTCTGGCCAGGCCCTGTGCCAGGCTGGCCACCCAGAGCCTGCACTCCCGGTGTGTGCCTCTCCAGGAAACGTGACTCACCAGGGGGACCTGACATCCTAGTGTTCGGCAATTTCCAGAGTAGCAGGGGCAGGATATAGGACAGGGCACCGGGTGGGTGGAGGCCAGGCCCACTGCCAAGTGTCTGTGAGGCGCAAGGTGACCCTCACGGCAAAGAACCCACCACCCGAGATGCCAGACACCCAGGCCCGCCTGGGGCAGGCTGCTGGGAGGTGGAGGAGACATGGGGTGTCACAGGCTGGGGATCTCGGTGTGGGCCACGCGCCCGGAGAGGGGGCGCCAGTCAGCCTGGCATGCGTGGGCACCGAGGCAGCGTCACAGTGGGAGAGGCCAAGGGCCTGGCAGCCCCAGGACGCCACCATGTGGTCACCATGGTTACCACAGGTCCAGGCATCTGACGGCCCCTGTGAACACTGACCCTGTCACGGGAGGCCTGAGGCCAGATGCAGGGGCTTTGAGAACGGGAGTGTGAGGGGTGGATGTCGCACTCTCTGAGGGGCCAGGAAGTAGCACCCGCGCCCTCTGCCCCCGCACCCACCTGACTTCAGAGTTTTGGGCCATTTGAGAAAGAAGGTGGGCGTGGCACCCACCTTGCTGATGGAGGCCCGTGGGAGGGCGCGGCTGCACAGGTGAGCCCAGTGGGTTTGCTGAACGTGG